GCTGCGCCCTGCCACAACTCCATTAGAAGCGAAAACCCCGCTCGACACCATAGCCTGGAACGTGAGATGTCGCACAGAGGAGTACGCACTGATGGCCAGGCGGCTGACAACGAGCGGAAATTCGTGCCGACAGCATCTCTGCTGCAACTGGTGCAGAAGAAGGAAATCATAGTACTTGAAGAAATCACAAAGGAGATTGACGGCGATTTTTGAAGACGAAACTCCAACTTCGGCCTTGCGGAGTTGTCTCCAAACAGTGTCCCCTGCACCAGTGAAAGAGCCAGCCGCAAAATAAGGCCGCGCGCGCGGGGCTTCCCAAGCATCGGCAATAGGCCTTCGCGCCTTAGCCCAAACACGGTAGGGCGCCGTGAAAATCCCGATGGGACGCACAGCTACAGGAACCATAGGGATCAGAAACATGATAACAATCGCCAACTGGTCGGGCAACAATCCCGAGGTTTCCATAACCAAGAACAGGTCCAGAAGGCACTGCAGGCCCTCGTCACGCAACCACCCCAGATGACGCAGGTGAATACCATCGGTAGCAACAGCCGGCTTCTCCTTTTGTCGGAGGCAGATTGTCCGAACAGCGTCCAGCTCGAGGCGAGGAAGCTCGTGAGCGGGCAGGAAGTCGGCCGTCGGGGTCGGCGGGGTAGGCGAAGCCCCCCCCCAAAAAAATGATACTTGCTGGCCTCAGCAGCCAGCGCACTCTGTGGATCTTTAACAATTCTTCCTCCCGCCGCCAAGACCGTACTTGGCTGCCAGGGAGTGGGGGCCATGGTGATGACCAAATGCACATTGCGCCCATCATTGTCGATTCCCTTGGGGAGCCAAGTCCGCCACCCTTGGGTAGCTTCATTTCGGGCCGCCTGCTCCGCCAGGTGCAAAGCATCCATAACGCGCCCGCGCATAACTCGCTGATCCTGCATCCGAGGCCCTCAGGCCAGGGGTGGAGCGACGAGGAGTGGCACAACTCAAGGGCCGTGAGGAACAGGTGCCGATGTTCACCTTGGTGCTTGACAATGGTTGGCGGCACAGCGAAGCCGTAGGAAATAGCGAAAGAGAGGCCCGCCAGGAGTGGATGTTGGATGCTGGCCTCGAGCATTAAAATGGTTTCCCAGAGCCACCTGGCAGAGACCAACCCAGGCTGGCGGGGCGGTTTGACGCCCCGAAGGTAGACAGGCTGCCAGACGATGTCGGGGACGGCCCCAGGGGCCCCAGGGGCCTTGAGCTCGACCCCCGCCAACTCCGCAACTTCAGCTTCCGCCAGATCCGCCCAGGCACAATAGGCGTTCGTGGGGGGGGCCTTGGATTCCTTCCCCTTACCTGCCCGAGCAGCCCTGAGCGCATCCCGCAGCAATTCCTTAGCTGGCAGATAGTCAGGCGGTGGGCCATGCGGCCCGGCCTGGCGAACGGGCGGGATGCGCTGCGGCCGAGCGAGCGTCATCGCACGGAGCTGTCCGAATTGCGGAAACAGAATGATCTGCACAGGCCAGTGCGGCGAGAGACCTCCATCCGACGCGAGTTCCAGGGATTGGATGGCAAAGCTAAGGCCAGGGCTAGCCACAAAATAATCATTCATTTTCATCCCGCCCGTAGTTTGACACGTCCCAGAACATGCAGGATAGAGAATCACTCCACCGTCGCACTGCTCAGGATATCCAAACTCGTGTAAACCGCACGGGGGGAGGTTGAAATCCCCGCAGATATTCCAAGGGAGGCAGGGACCCGTGGAGGCCTGTCCTGCGTCCGACAATAGCTGCTGGTTGTACTGGCCGATGCCAGTGCCATCCATCTCTGAGGTAGATCGACGTAACCGAAAAATCTAGACCACCAGGAACCCCCACAACTCCTGAAATGACCCGAGACGGCGACGGCGAGGCGATACCATGGTGCAAGCCCAAGAAGTCTCGGACGAATATCGCGACACCTCCCTTGGACCCGACGCCGTCTCCTGGAGCCGCTGGACCCCATATGGCACGCCACTTGCTGCGAGAAGCCCAGGCACTGGCGTGCTCCAAACGTTCCCCTGCCAGGAGGTGGTGCTCCTGCATGCAGACGACATGCGCGGAGGTGTTTAGTAAAAACTGTTGGCCAGACCCCCGCCCTGAAACATTGGCAGTCGCAATCTCAGGGCGAGGTCCGACCCACCTTCCTGGGGCGGGGGGGGGGAGAGGACGGAGGCGAGGAGGAGGGGGGTGGCCCCGACGCTCCCGGGCCTGGGCCTGGGTCGGCGACAAAAAATTCAGGGCCCTCCGAGCGCGCAACTTAGCCCAGGTGAGCCTGGACCAGAATTGGGAGATGGCGGGCTGGCTAAGCCCGCCCAGTATACTAAAGTTAGGCATGGCGGGGCACCCCCCCTCAGGCTGCGGCTGCGCCACCTGAGGGGGGGGGGGGGGGGGGCTTCCCCCTGCTGCAAAATGGTGGCCGCTGCCGCCCGAGTGGCCCGACGCGCCGTTTCCTCCACCGAGGAAGACGCGGGACCTTCTGAAGGGGCAGGCGCAGTAGCGGCAGGCACAGGCAGCGCAGACTCAGAAGGGGGCTGCGGGCCCCCAGGTGCTGGAGTGGCTGCTGCGGACGCAGGCTCCCCATCGCCTTTAGCGCCGTCGACCTTGCGCTTTTCCTTCTGAAGACGTCCGAGTAATGCCTGATGCTCCTCCTTCGCCGCCTTGAACTTGGCCGAGGCGTCTCCAAAGAGCACCCCAATAGCCGCCTTGATGTCGGCCTGCAGATGTTTTTCCATACGCTGCTTTGCTTCGTCTCGGGTGCGCTGGTCCAGCTCGTAGATGCCGTCGTCGAGCTGGCCGAAACTTCCCATGGAGATGGGCAAATCAGACTTGCCCTCCAAGATGTCATCAATCGAGATGGTGACCAGGTTTGCTGGGGCAGGCGAAGTGGGGCTCGGCGGCCCGCAGGTGCTGGCGTGAAGCGCACGGACCAGCTGGGCGTGCTCTGACTCCGCGGCCACCAGCTCCTCGTTGACCTTCGAAACCCATTCTTTCTGCTCAGCCAACTGAGACTCCAGTCGCTGAAAATGCGCCACCGCCTTCTCCAGCTTGCCCTCCAGGTTCCGCACCGACTGGAAGGCTGAGTTGGCCCGCTGCTGGAGGGGCTGCTGCTTGCGGGCTGCGGCAAGGTTCGCCTTGCGCTGCTCGAAGATATTGCTGTAGTGGGCCGCCCCGACTCGATCTCCAACTTTGGTGAGCGTGTCAATGATGGCCTGGATGTCCTCGAGCTTGGCGTCGGGCGGGATGGTCGGGGCGGCCGTAGCTCCCACGGGCGAAGCTCCAGGCGTGAGGAGCCCTGGGCGGGCCTCTTGGGCGCCTCACGGGGCTTCTTGGGAGCCTCTTGGTGGCCTCCGGGGGCGTCCTAGGAGCTCTCAGGCCGGAGACCTTGAAATGTCGCGCTCTTCGGGCCCTCTTGGGTCGCTCTTGGGGCTCTCTTGGGGCGCTCTCGAGGCCCTCTTGATTCATCTGGGGAGCCTCCTGGGCCGTCTCTGGGCTTTCTTGGGAGCCTCTTCGGCCGTCTTGGAGCGATCTGACGGGCATCTGACGCGGTCGGGGACCGTGGGGAGGCGGTACATGGGAGAGCGCAAGAATGCTTCAAAAACCATAGGAAAATGAATGATGTTCGGCTTCTGGGGCCCTTTGGAGGAGCCTCTGGAGGCGCTCTTGGGGCGTTTTGGCGGCGTCGTCGGCCGTCCTGAGGCTGTCCTGAGGCTCAGTGGGGGGCCCTGGAAGCTCCGAAATCATGTTCCCGGAAAGGCTTCCGGGAACATGATTTCGAACGGGGCCCTCTTGGGCCTCCCTGAGGCCGTCTTGGGGGCCTCCTGGGCCGGCTTCGGGGCCTCTTGGGCCGTCTTGGGGGGTTCCGTGAGCTCCACAGGCCGACTCTTTTGGGCCGTCTGGGGCCCTCTTGGGTCTTTTTTTTTTTGTTTAGCAATGCTCGAATGAACAACGGCTATGCTCGAAGCTGTGCATCAAGGTGACAGAGGAGATCGCGTGCATAAGCGCGTGGCGAAGAAACAACGCCCCTCTGCAAACGGCGCTGCGACGACGCAGACGCCCATGGAAAACAAAGTGTATTAAAGTCGCCCCCTTCACATCTGATGAGAAGGGGACGCCTCTCTGCTCCAGCCGGCCAGGGGAGGAGAAGGAGGACGAGAAGGAGAAGGAGGAAGAGGATACTTCTGAATAAGGAAGGGTCGGAGCATGAGCGAGTCCAGGTATGAGCTACTTGAGTGTGAGTGGAGCCTCGCACTCAGGGTATGGAGCCTCATGCTCAGGATCTGAGGGAGCATCTCCATTAAAACGCAGCCGCCGCGCGCGGTCGTCGTGACAGCGTGACAGGGCAACTCAGACAGAGACTGCAAAAAACGAAACGGCCGCGTGGGTACAACAATCGGGGCCACCCACCCGTGGACCGTGCCTGGGCGAGCGGGCGAGAAGGGCGCGGGGGTGGACACCCCAGGCCTCGACGGAAGAGGCGCTGGCGCAACCGGCCCGCGAGCACCTTCTGAGTCCGCCCGACCTCCGAGTGGGCGGCCGGACGGGCCCGGCTCCAGCTGGGCCGCAGGAAGGAGAAAGGAGAAATGAGGAGGAGGAAAAGGATTAAGGGGAGAGGGGCGGCAGCGACGAGGAGGGAGTCGGACCAGCCGCTGCCCAGATCCTCTGAGCAGCGGGCGGAGGAGGGGGAGCGGCAGAGGCCTCCTCCTCCTCCTCCTCCTCCTCCTCCTCCTCCTCCTCCTCCCCCTCCTCTACAGGTTCTCCCCCCCGCCTTCCTATCATTCCTCTCGCTGGATACAGCCTCAACATCTACGCAAGCACGGCACTCCCGCCAGAGACTGCAATACGCGTGCTTCTGGGAGTCCTGCGCTCGCCCCGGCGCCAGCGACATTACCGCTCCCGGAGCACATCTCGACACTACAGGCCGCGATCAGATTCGTCGTGTTGCGCCCGTCCCCGCCTCCCACCCCCCTCCCGTCTCTCTTGGGCTGTGTTGGGGCTCCGCGGGGGCGCCTGGGGCACTGTGAAGGCAAAGCCAGCGAGTATGCCGAAAGTGCATTTTTACAATGGAAATGGGCAGATTTTTGCCTCTTGAAGGCCCTCTCGGGGCCCTCGCGGGCCCTCTTGGGGCGCTATTGGGCGTCTTCGGGGCCTCTTCAGGCATTCGTGACCATCTGTGCGGCCCGCGTGGCCTGTCGTGGGCAATTTAAGGCCCAGGGCAGTCCCGAGGGGGTCTGTGACCCCCTTCTTGGGCTGGCCTGGAAACTGTTGGAGCCCTCTGCGGGATGGTCTTGGAGCTCGCGCCGAGGACCTGGAAAATGTCTGTGACCATCGCGGCGGCCTCCGAGGCCCGGGGCGCCGAAACCTGGTAAAAACACAAGGAAAATGAGCCCCGGTACTCCCATGGAGGGTCGAGGCAGCTGTTTTCAGGCCCCAAGCCTTCTCCCCCGTGATATACCTCGTACCCAAGGGGCGCTCGCAAGGTCCTCCAGAGACGGGCCTAGGCGGGCGCGCGAGAGAGATCGGCGAGCGCCATAGCTGCTCGGCGAATTCCGTGAAAATTGCCATTCTACTCCTCCTCAGTGGGGGGGGGCGGCGGCGAGACGCGACGAGGTCTCTTCCCCTCCCCCGCTCCGCAGGGGGCCCAGCCCGCAGCGCCGCGACGCGCTCTCGCAGCACGGGGACGCGGCCACCACGAGGGCCCGGGTTGGGGAAACGAAAAAATAAAACCCCGCGCTCCCACCCGGCTGGGGCGAGGGCGCTGCCACCGCCGCAGACAGGTGGCCCACGGGCCTGCAGCCGCTAGCCCTGCGGCGCAAGTGGAAGAATTGACTTGGCGAGCAATCATTGTGCCTTCCCTCCTTGCCCTGCTTCCTCACGACCGAGCAGCCCTCGGCTCGGTCCGCCCAGGAGGGCTCACTGCGGCAGGCGGCGCCGCGCAGACGCGAGGAGGCCCGTCGCGAGCTCGGGGTACTTGCAATCGCGGGCTGCTCGGAAGATCTTCACCCGCTGGCAGAAGCTGAACGGCTACCCCCTGGGAAGGGTCCATGGCGCACGCACGAGGGTCGAGCTCGTCGCAGATGTCGCTCTTCTTCTTGCTCGCGTCATCCTGCGACAAGACGTAAGCGATGCAGGCGAGGATCACCGTGAAGGCCGCGTTGAACACGGTAGCGTCGAGAGTGCCGCCTAGGAAGGTCACTTTCGCGAAGTACACGAGGAGGACGCCGACGGCCTCGCTGATGCTCTTCCAGATGGCGTCCAAGACCTTGAACAAGTACAAGCTGAAGAGCGTCTTCAGGACGAAGCCGGCGAAGACGAGCACCACGGTCCGGTAGGTCCACTCGCCGAACAGGTCACCGTCACCCATGAGGCCGTCCTTGACGAGCATGTACACCAGGCTCGTCAACGCGCAGGAGACTTTCAAACAGGAGAACTGCACGGGGAACGGGTTGGAGTCCATCTTGAGAGCCTTCTGGTTGAGCACCGCCACGTAGCAACTGATCACCACCTTGACAAGGGCGAGGCCGACGCCAAAGGGGCTGAAGGTCACGCTGCCCTCCTTGGCCATGCCCACGAGCACGTACTCCAGCATGCTGGACGAGGTCGTGAAGAAGATGAACCACTGCATCAAGTTCTGTGCAATGCCGTCGATGGCCCACATCAGCAGGGCCGTGATGATGAGCTTGGACTGGGACAGCACCGTGTACGTGGACGAGTCGATGTAGTTCACAGACTCCATCTCGAGGATGTCCCCCATCGCGTAGATTATGCCGATGTGGGCGAACTTCGTCAGGATGCCCTTGTCGAAGCATTTCTTCATGTCCGCGCTGCCACCGCCCTGGTACGCCAGGGCCCAGCCGACAAAGACGCAAAACGTTTGGGCCACGAAGATCACGCTGGACACGGTGTAGGTGGCGCTCGCGGAGTCGCCCTTGGCCCACTCGATGAAGAAGTTGTGGCAGGCTCGCTGCAGGGTCACCGCCAGGAAGGCCGCCGCCTTAACCTGCGAGTCGGACGGCATCTCGCGCCCCGTGGCACCCCAGGTGCTCCAAATTTAATCCTTGCAGCAAAGCGGCAGTCCGCCGCTGGAGTACGCTCCAGAAAGATCATATAAGCTTGAGCCAACGTGGCTACGAAGCTTGAGCCAACATGGCTATATATGTATTTATATATATAAATGTATGTATGTATGTTTGTATGTATGTATGTATATATATATATATATATATGCAAGGCCCCAAGACGCACGACCAGAGATGGCGGCGCAGGCGAAGCCTGAGGGATTGCACAACAATTCATTAGCACGAACTTGCATCGATCGGCCGAGAGCCGAAGTGAATCCAATGCGTATGCCAACGAAAGCAATGCCTATCATACAGTAGCGCACGACACAACAATGCAAACAGACTGCACCCAGGTGGCGGTGGGAGAAGGCGGACGGCGCCGAAAAACTTGAGCACAAGTATACCGACGGTCGTGCTCAAAGAGAGGCAAGGGACAATTAACTTCAAAGAACGACATTATGCAAGGCCCCAAGACGCACGACCAGAGATGGCGGCGCAGTCGAAGCCTGAGGGATTGCACAACAATTCATTCTCACGAACTTGCATCGATCGGCCGAGGGCCGAAGTGAATCCAATGCGTATGCCAACGAAAGCAATGCCTATGATACAGTCGCGCACGACACAACACTGCAAACAGACTGCACCCAGATTTTCCCGTATTGGGAGCTGGTGAGGCCACAGGGCTCCTCGGGGGCAACTTCGGGCTCACCTTGACACAGTGCGGCCAAAGTCGAAAGATGCTTTGGCAGCTAAGCGTTTACTCACGAGACTGGCGGCCGACAGTTGAGCACGGGACATCTTGGCGAGCTGGCGAGTCAAGCGGCCGGCCTCCTCGTACCGTCTCACGCTCGCAGCGCACTTCCAGCGGCCGTGGCGCTGCACCTCTGCGAGGGAGCGGTACTTCAGAGCGAAGTCGACAGTTGCACCGCCGCGCCGCAGGGCGTGGGGGCACAGGCGCAGCCTCTGCAGGCCAGCCGCGTCAGCCGCCTGCCGAAAGGCGGCCTCGAACTCACGGGCCGTGAATGGGAAGAGCGGCCTGGTGGCTGGAGTGGCCCGCTTGAGGTCACGGACGAGCCTGGCCACCCAGCGCCTGGGAGCGGCCGCCGCCGCGCTGCCGCCGACGATAACCGCGTCGTCGTACTCGCCGGACTTCGTCGTCGCGGACGGCGGGCAGTCGGGCGGAGCCGCAGGCATCAGGGAGATCGAGACCTGGGGGTAGGCCGAGGTCGCTGAGTGCTGGAGGCAGGCGACGTTGCAGGCCTTCACACTGAGCAGCTCCGAGAGCCGAAGGTTGCCGTCGAAGGCCACTGCCACGGCATCCCCCACGAGCCGCTGGCGCGGGCATGGGGAGCTGAGGCACTGATCGATGACCAGCAGCGTCGCCTCCCATGGGCAAGGGTCCCGCTGCTCCCCAGGCGCCGCCCTCGAGAAGCCCTTGAGCGTCAGGCGGGCCTGGGGGAACTCGGAGGCGTCCCTGAGGTTGATCTTCTCCTCGAACGCGTAGCCGTAGAGCGCGGTGCGAGCTGCGAAGATGCCGTCCCCGGCCAGGAAGATGCCCTGCAGGTGGTCCACCATGAGCTGGCCCCTCTGCGCAGGCGCGCGCTGCGGGTAGTGGTGCCTCTCCGCGAAGCGCTTCACCTCCGCGGCCGCGCGGCCGTAGTGCTGCTGCGTCAGCGGCTTGACACGGCGGCGCGCCAGGAAGTCGCTGCGGGCCACCTCGTTGTGAGCGGCCCCCTGCAGCCCGATGGCGGAGCGGGGGCGCCGTGGCCGCGAGCTGCTCGGCGCCGCCGCTGAAGTTCTGAAGCCCTCCTGGCCGAATCGGCGGCGCCGGTCGCGCTCGGCGGCCTGGGCCTGCGCGATGCTGCTGCCCCAGTCGAGCTGGCCCGGCTGCCACTCCTGGTGGCCAGCGGGCGGGCAGACAGGATCGGGCGTGGGCGCCCAGGCGCGGCAGCCGACAGCGGCTGCCAGGCGAGCCTCCCCTCGGCATTCAGGCCGAGCACCATTCGGGCGCACAGGATCGTAGGATGCTAGCCCACTTGCGAGCCAATGCCCCCGGATAACGTCCAGCGAGACTGGTCTTCCAGATGGGCCCCGTCCAGGGCCCAGACGCACCTTGCCTGCAAGGACCTCGTGAACATGATCTCGGGAACAACTAGCATTCAGGGCCTGGAGGGGCTTCAGGTTGGTGACCAGGGTAGTGGGCTTCAGGCAACGGCAATTGTATTGGCAGTAATGCACGTTGACGAAGTAATGACAATGACGTTCCAAGAAAGCTGTGACCTCTGAACATTGCCAAAGACGTGACGATGAAGGATTCTCGAGGGACCAATTTACGCCAAATCGCACACATAGACGCAGCAAGTCGACTGTGAACGAGACAGAGCCAGCACCAGAGGCAAAATGCTTGGCCCGGCTGTGCGCGGGCGTGGCCTGGCTGAAAGGCGCGCACGGGGTGCCGAGGTGGACATGCCACACCTCTCGCCGCACGATGACGCGGATCGCGTTCTTGTTAGTCAGGTCGTGCCACGCGCCTCTGGAGATGTCGACGGGCACCCAGCAACGGAGGCCCTCGTCCAGGCAAGCCGCGGTGAGGCGCGCGCAGCCAGCGTAGAGCTCGAGGGCGTGCCGGGGGCGCCGCCGGCTGCGCGGCGGAGCCCGCAGGCGATGTGGCCCGGCCCCAGCCGGCGCGTCCAAGTGCGCCGGGCCTGGGGCGGGCGGCGCGGCGGCCGCCGCCGGCGGCCCCGCCGTCTTGCCCTGCGCGGCGACGGGCGGCGCGAGGCGGCCGGGCGGCCCGGCTGGCCCCGAGCGCAGGTCGCGGGCGGCACCCCGCTGCGTCTGGCCGGGCGCCAGCTCGAACCTGTCCGCAGCTCTGGGGTCGTAGTCGGTGGGGCTCCGCTTGCTCTCGGAGTAGCGGTGGTAGTGCTGGATGCCCGTGGCGATCTGCCGAGCTGCCGACTGGCAGGCCAGCTGGCGTAGGACTGGGTTGGCACACCTGCCTTTCTCGAACGCCATCATGGATGAGAGATTGTCCCCAATGGAGAGGACGCGGCATCCGTGAGCAGCCACCGACCGAGTGGCCCGCCTGAGCCCCAGGAGGGTCGTCCGGCCCTCCAGCACGTGGATCGGGGCGGGGAAGAGGAAGGCGCCATTGCACGCACGACGAGCTGCCACCGGTGCGCCGCGAGCGCCGAGTCCGGCAGCGCCGGGATGGCGCCGCGGCCGGCGGGGCTGGCCGCGGCCTCGACCTCGACCCTCGCCGGGCGGTGCCGCCGCGGGGCCCCTCGCCCCGGCGGCGGCGGCCCCAGGCCAGCGAAGAGGCCGTCGTCGTCCCCGCCCGCGGCGAAGTCAGCATGGATGGCGACCTCGAAACCAGGGGGGTCTCCAGGGTTGTCAGCGTAGCGGTCGACGGCCAAGAAACGCCAGCGCTCGCGATACGCGCCGATGTCCATCAGCTCGCCCGGGTCGACTCGGGACGTGGCCACCGCGTAGCCCCAAAGGCTGGCGTCCGAGCAGCAGGCCCAGGGGTGCCACGGCGCCCCGAGATCGACGCCAGCTAGCGGGATCAAAGCCTTCACGAGGTTGAGCTTGCGCAGCTGCTCGACGTCGAACCTGCAGTAATCGTGGGAGGAGTTGACGATGCGGCACCACGAGCTCAGGACCGACAGGGCGGGCCTCAGGAGCATGAAGTGGTGCGCAACGTGGCCCAGCCGAACCTCCATGGCGCTCGGCGTGCAGCCCCCTCGATCCAGCAGGGCCGTCACCGCGCGGTGGAGGCGCCAGCCGCGCTCGCGCTGCGGGACTGCCCGACCAGCCGTGAAGTCGAACCGCGCACCGCAGCACAATAAGTCCTGCGTGGCGTAGCAGACCTCGTGGTAGGAAAGCCCCCGCCTCTCGAACTCGCGGAGGATACCCTCGAGCGCAGCATTGACCAGGCTACGAGGCGAGCCCACGACGTTGGAGTTGTCGACGTACGAGGAGCCAGCCAGTTGGCCAGGGGCGAGCCGCGCGCTGGGAGCACGCTCCGGGACGATCCTGACACACTCGGGCGAGATGCCCAGGGCCTGGCTGATGCCGATGCGGGTGACGTCCTCGGTGATGCCGTTGCAGATGTGGAGCGACCAGCTCCAGCCCATGGCAAGTCCCTGGAAGCACGGGTAGACGATTGTATCAGGCTCAACCTGCACGAAAGTCTGGGCCACCTCGTCGTAGACGCAGTCGGTGTCAAAGTTGCGGATGGCCATCGGGAAGTCAAAGCAGAACCAGCTGCCGATCTCGAGCCACTGCATCTGGTAGAAGCCCTGCCGGAGGTCGGCGCTGGCCCCGTGGTAGCCGTCGCCCCTGGCGTCGAGCAGGTCCGAGTCGAGGCAGAGGCCACTGAGGGCGGCAGCGGAGCCCAGCTCGGTCCGCGGAGGGCGACGGTGCATGCTCGAGGGCTCGCGCCCGTCGATGACCATGCGCAGCGAGCCGTCCTTCTTGCCAACGAAGAAGATGCTGGCGCGGGCGCGGCGCCGCGCACGCACTCCCACGAGGCCGATGCGCATGAGCTTCTTGAACAGGTCGAGGCGCAAGGCAGGGTCCCGTCGCAGGTTGACGTCCCAGAAGGGGTAGACAGGCGGCAGCTCGCCAGACTCGACCATGCCGTCCAGCACCGACTGAGAGCGGAGGATATACTTCTCGGGCTCGTTGATGAGCGGGAGCATGGAGACGGGGGCCAGCGAGCGGATGGGCAGCGGGCGGATCCCGCCGTCGAGAAACTGCAGGAGGTGCGGCTCATAGGGCCGAACTGGCGTCGGCCTGCCGCTGTATATGTCCTTGGACTTCAAAATGGAAAGGAGCGCCTCATCACCGTCCAGGCCGAGGGGGTCGCCGAAGGCGCCCACTCGCTGATGAATGCGCTGCAAGATTGATGCTTGGGCGGCGTTCGCAGGAAGGACCGAAGCGAGACGCCGCGCAGCCGCCAGCGGTGCGTCCAGGTCGTTCAACGCCATGATCGCCTGGTTGCAACGCCGCCGCACGCCGCGCGAGAGCCCAAGGGACGGGACCCCCGCGGGCGTCGATCTGCCCAGCAAGGGCAGAGGGAAAGGGTCGCCGTGAGCGCGACCAGTCAAAAATCGAGGAGCCCCTTCGGCGGCAGGGCCTCTCGCGCGGCCCCCTGAGAAGCGGACTGCGGAGGGTGCATTGGCCGAGCGGCGCCGGGGCGAGCGCCGCCTCTCCGCAGCCCGAGCGACAGGAGTCATCCCTCCGCGGCGGCCGGGGCGTCGCCCCGACCGCCGCGAACACGTCCGCCGCCGCGTCCACGCCCACGGCCTCGGCCGCGGCCTCCGCCTCCGCCGTCTCCGTCACCGCCGCCTCCCCCGCCGTCGTCCCAGCCTCCGGAGCATCGGCCGCGGCCGCGAGAGACCTGCTCCTCGCGCCACTGCCGCTGCTGCTTCAGCGTGAAGGCCTCGTCCTTCTGGATCTGCGCGATGTACTTCGAGTGCTCGGGAAGGACCAGGCCGCCAAACTCGTTGACGGTCGAGGCGACCACCGCGTCGAGGTCCTGGAAGTCTGGGCTCCGAGGATTGCGGGCGACGGCCATTTCGATCTGGACCAGGTAGCGCACAAGGACCTCGACCCCCACGAGGCTGGGCAAGTTCAGCATGTCCTGCTGCTGGAAGGCGTGCAGGGCGTCGGTGAGCCGACGGTGACAGCGCGTGATGTTGCTGTTCGGGGAGACCCCCGACTTGTGGACGAAGTCCAAGTGATGGGTGACCCACTCCATGCCGGTAGCCCGTAGCGTGCGCATGTACTCGTGGGTGACCCTCTGTCCTCCCAGGGGGAAGGGAGGCTCGGCGGCGGCATGCTGTAAGCCCAGGGACTCGACGAACGAGACGAAGCGCTGGCCGCTGACGGGATCCCTGACGTCACCAGTGATGCGTGAGCCCCGCTTGTGGCCCGAGATGAGCGCGCGCTCCCAGGCCTCCCGGTCGGCGTCTGGCACGAGCTGGCAGAAGGTCCAGCAGTTGTCGATCAGCACCAGGCCAGCAAGGTAGTCCTCGTCGCCAGGGGCGCCGGGCGTGATGAAGGCCGCGGGGTCCGAGGTGATCTGAACAGGCACCTCGTCCCCGAAGCTGCGAGCCGAAGGGTCGGCGATTCGCCACACCCCGGCGTCACCTCCAGCGGCCGGGGCTGCGGGGGCGGCCTGCCCTAGCACCTGCCCGAGCGAGGCCGCCTGCTGCCGAATCCGCGCGAGGTCCGCGTCAGGCACCGGGTTGTCGAAGACGTAGCTCTCATTCCACTGGGCGGCGGGAAAGGCGCAGTTGCGGCCCAGCGCCACCACGCGGTGGGCGTTCAAGTCCAGCCTCTGCACCGATTAGTCGGGAGTGCTGGCGATCCACACCCCCGCTGTGGGGGTCTGGACCAGGAGCAACCTGTGATGCCACCTCAGCCCCGCCGCGTCGTCAGGGAAGTCGATCAGCACCTGCGGCTCGGGCAGGTCGAGAGTGACGCGCGCCATGGCGCTGTCACGCCCGCTGGGCCCGCAGGCTCGGCGTCACGGGGCCCGCGGTGAAGCCCGCCGGGGGCGGCGGCGCCGCGAGTGGCTTCAGCTCGGCCGGCGCGTGAGCCTCGGGCCCCCAGCGCGGCCGCCAGCCCCAAAGCCAGCCAGCCCGGCCGTCCAGCGGCAGGGCGGTCGTCGAAGGCCTCGGTGAGGCTCGTCGCCGGCCCGCTGCACGTCAGCGTGCAGGCCTGCGACGGACACGGTGGGCAGGCTGGACACGCGGGCCCTCGCAGCAGCCAGAGCTCGGCGAGGCGTGCGCCGATCCCAACCACATCCTCGAGCGCGGGCATGCGCGATCGTGGCTCCTGCCGAAAAACTTGAGCACAAGTATACAGACGGTCGTGCTCAAAGAGAGGCGAGGCACAATCAACTTCAAAGAATGACACATCTATATATATATATATATATATATATATATATTCCTCTTCCTATATTTTTACAAGCCCGGGGGGTGGGGAAACCCATCACCCCCCAAAAAAAAACTGGACCCCCGGGATCTGGGGTTCTCGGGCTCCCTGAGACGTCCTTGGAAAAGGTCACCCGACTTTCCGGGTCTCCACAAACGCCTTGCCAGCAGACCCAGAGCGATCCGAGGGGTCATCAGAAAGGCTCAAGGGAGGCCCCAGACAGCATAAGAGCGCTCCAAGAGGGACCCGAATTGCGTCAGGACGGCCCAAAAGACCCCCAAGGCACCCCAAAAAGCTTTCCAAGGGGCCTTCAAAGCACAAAAATCGTCCCATTCCCTTCGTAAAGCTTACAATTTTAGCATATTCGCCTTTCGGATTCCATCAGCTTTCAAGACGGTTTCAAAGCCCCCGAGATCGCCTCAAGACGCTTCAAACGGCCCCCAAGAAAGCTTCAAGACGGCCGAGCCGGGTCCCACGATCGCCCACGAGAGCCCCAAGACAGCCCATAATGGAACCAAGAGGCCCCCCAAGGGCTCCCAGCACAGACCCAAAAGGGCCATGGGAGGTCCCTGGAAGTGCCCAAGATGGGTCCAAAGGGGGCTCCAGCGGGCCCAAGCTCCCCAAGACGGCCCAAGAAGGCCCCAGGACGGCCCATGAAGGCGCCATAACGGCCCACAAGGCCCTGAAAACATCCCCACAATGTTTCCGAATGCCAACATTCATCGATTTTGTTCCCATGACATTTCACATTGTGACCCTGTCGTTGAGGGTTTCGTGGCATGCAGCGGAGATGCCCGAGGATGCCCCGTACGAGTTGCGTATGCATGTTCATACCCTTACACACGGAAAATTATATGTACACATGTACGCTGTATACACATATACAACCATCAAACTCTATTGTATACACCTAGACATGTATACGGAACGTGCATGCACGTGCGCGTGTATACATGCATGCGCGCATGTACGCACGCACGCATTCCGCGTGCGTGCAGAACTCAAATGACCATGGTGCATGGCGCGCAGCGCCAATGCAGTCTTGTGTGTGTATACATATATATATATATATATATATATATGTGTGTGTGTGTGTGTGTGTGTGTGTGCGTGTGTGTGTATTCCTCTTCTTATATTTCTACAAGCCCCGGGAGGGGGGGACCCCCCCAAAAAAAACTGGACCCCCGGGATCTGGGGTTCTCGGGCTTCCTGAGACGTCCTTGGAAAAGGTCACCCGGCTTTCCGGGTCTCCACAAACGCCTTGCCAGCAGACCCGGAGCGATCCGAGGGGTCATCAGAAAGGCTCAAGGGAGGCCCCAGACAGCATAAGAGCGCTCCAAGAGGGACTCCAGTTGCGTCAGGACGGCCCAAAAGACCCCCAAGGCACCCCAAAAAGCTTTCCAAGGGGCCTTCAAAACACAAAAATCGTCCCATTCCCTTCGTAAAACTTGCAATTTTTGCATATTCGCCTTTCGGATTTCATCAGCTTTCAAGACGGTTTCAAAGCCCCCGAGATCGCCTCAAGACGCTTCAAACGGCCCCCAAGAAAGCTTCAAGACGGCCGAGCCGGGCCCCACGATCGCCCACGAGAGCCCCAAGATAGCCCATAATGGAACCAAGAGGCCCCCCAAGGGCTCCCAGCACAGACCCAAAAGGGCCATGGGAGGTCCCCGGAAGTGCCCAAGATGGGTCCAAAGGGGGCTCCAGCGGGCCCAAGCTCCCCAAAACGGCCCAAGAAGGCCCCAGGACGGCCCATGAAGGCGCCAAAACGGCCCACGAGGGCCCCGAAAACACCCCCACGATGTTTCCGAATGCCAACAGAAAGATTCCCAAGGCACCCCAAAAAGCTTTCCAAGGGGCTTTCAAACCACAAAAATCGTCCCATTCCCTTCGTAAAACTTACTTTCGGATTTCATCAGCTTTCAATGCGATTTCAAAGCCCCCGAGATCGCCTCAAGACGCCCCAAAAGGCCCCCAAGAAAGCTTCAAGACGGCCGAGCCGGGCCCCACGATCGCCAACGAGAGCCTCAACACAGCCCATAATGGAACCAAGAAGCCCCCCAAGGGCTCCCAGCACAGACCCAAAAGGGCCATGGGAGGTCCCCGGAGGTGCCCAAGATGGGTCCAAAAGGGGGCTCCAGCGGGCCCAAGCTCCCCAAAACGGCCCAAGAAGGCCCCAGGACGGCCCATGAAGGCGCCATAACGGCCCACAAGGCCCTGAAAACATCCCCACAATGTTTCCGAATGCCAACAGAAAGACCCCCAAGGCACCCCACAAAGCTTTCCAGGGGCCTTTTAAATCACAAAAATCGTCCCATTCCCTTTATAAAACTTACAATTTTAGCATATTCGCCTTTCGGATTTCATCAGCTTTCAAAACGGTTTCAAAGCCTCCGAGGTCGCCACAAAACGCTCCAAAAGGCCCCCAAGAAAGCTTTAAGACGGCCGAGCCTGGCCCCGCGATCGCCCACGAGAGCCCCAAGACAGCCCATAATGGAACCAAGAGGCCCCCCAAGTGCTCCCAGCACAGACCCAAAAGGGCAATGGGAGGTGCCCGGAAGTCCCATGGGTCCAAAGGGGGCTCCAGCGGGCCCAAGCTCCCCAAGACGGTCCAAAAAGGCCCCAGGACGGCCCATGAAGGCGCCAAAACGGCCAACGAGGGCCCTGAAAACGCCCCCACGATGTTTCCGAATTCCAACATTCATTGATTTTGCCCCCATGGTATTTCAGTGAGGGTCTCGTGGCATGCAGCGAAGATGCCCGAGGCTGCCCCGTACGAATTGCGTACGCATGTTCTTACCCCAACACACATAAATTTATATGTGCCTATGTACGCTGCATACGCACATACAACAATGCACATCTATTATGTACACCTAGACATTTATACGGAACGTGCATGAATGCGCGCGTGTATACATGCATGCGCGCATGTACGCACGCGCGCAGTCCGCTTGCGTGCTGAACTCAAAGGACCAAGGTGCATGGCGTGCAGTGTATATAGATGTGTATATGTATATGTATTTGTATATGTATGTTTATATACACACATATATATATATATATATATATATATACATACATATGTATATATATATATGTATGTGTGTATGTGTATGTCTCTCTCTCCCTCTCTTTCTCTCTCTTTCTCTCTCTCTCTCTCTATATATATATAGATCCCTCTCTCCTTTAAAATTAAAGATGCCGCCCTACACCCCCTGGACTCATCGACTCCTTGGGAACCGATGCGAAACGCATACGATTCTGACCCAGTGTCCATCTTAACTGTGAATTCATACTATCCCAGCCAGGCCGGCATCGGCCCCCCCTCGGCCCCCAACCCTATACGTTGCCATTTGTTGCTCCAACGTGACACTTGTTCACGAATCCCTCGCAAATATCGGGGCGAAAAGCGCGCGCGCGTCGTCGCACGCATGCTGAAATCCTTAAAACATGCTCGGCCCCGGAAGGATTTCAACATCGAGTGCCAGGTGTCAAATATCTATACGTTGTAATTATTAACATTGTAAACATATATGCATATACAAAAAACGCAACGCGGCTGTTCAACAAAATGGCGCGCGCTGCTGCGATTTTTCGTGTGTATATATATATATGTGGGCATATATATATATATATATATATATATATATATATATGTATATGTATATAACACCATGCGTTTTGGAACATGCTCGTAACATGCTACCAGACGGGCTTCACGCGCGCGCATGTCGAAATCGTGTCTGCCGCGCGCGAATTTCGAATTCCTCCCAAAACGTTCATCACCGACGCGAAGAAGCCGTCATCGTCGTCGGTGTGATCAGCATCGGCGCCGTCACTGGCTGCCCCGTCGTCGCTGTCAGCATCGTCGCCAGCATCGCAACTATTGTCATCGTGTCTACCGTTGTCGACGCTGCTATGGTACCGCGCCCGCCCAAGTCGCCGACTCGGACTCAAGTGCCCGCAGGGATGCGCCGAGCGGTCAGCGCCACATCGCGCGCGTCGGTCGCGCCATACTAGCTGGCCGCTGCGCGCGCGAGCACGCGCGGGCTAGCGCGGCCGCAAAGATGCACCGGCCAACGCCCAGCACTCATCGCAATCGCTCCCGCGTCGGTTTTGCACGCCAAGTTCCGGGTGGGCGGGTGGGATGATTGCGCGAGCAGTGGAGTTGACAACTTCAAGTCCGGCAAGTGAATTGCGCCACGTAGGTTGCATCGACTAGATTGCTCAACGTAAAATACAGCGCATATATAGTTCCACATCCATTACACGACATAGCGATCACGCCATAGACTGCACGAGATAAATTTCACAACGTTCGCGGCACAACTAAGGTTGCATTGCAGATTTTGCACAACATATATTGCTCCACCTTTATGTTCCTCTCCGGAATACATATAATCTACCCCCACTGCAATTTACATATGATTCCGCCTCCTTGCTCATTTCCTATATGAACTCATGCCATCCCAGCTCGTCCCGGTATCGCCCCCCCCCCCCCTCATCCCTAGTAAATAATACCACGCGGTGCACATGCGTTGATCTAAG